AAGATGAACATGTGCATGAAAAAATCTGGTAAACAGCATCGTGTGTGTGTGTGTATGTTTCATAGAGTGACTACAGCATACGCATACTTCGGTTGCAGTGGATGAACAGAAATACAGAAGTTTTCAGAGAATAATAAGGATTGGGTTAAACAGGGCCTTGAAGATCAGGTGGAAGGGTAAGTTGTCATGAGGTTGCAGTGGGAGCAGGTACAAACTTGTGTGCATGTGTGTGTGTGTATGTATGTGCATGTGCACGCATGCCTGAGGTATGTCTGCCTGAAATGGCCACCACAACTTTCAACTTACTAAGTATGAAAAGAATGCATCACTGATTTAAAATCTTCTAGAGTCATCCAGTTTTCTCAGTACTGCCATTATATTTCCAGTCACTCTCTGATTTGCTCGAGAACCTAAGTCCTGGCCTTCCCTGAGCCCCTGAGTCCACCCTTTCCTCATCCTTGCTGGCACTGTGCCCTCTTGGGACTTGATGCCTAGACTTTTATTTTATAGTCCTCCTAACTGGTTCCCCTGCTTTCAGCCTTCCTGCCTCTTACTTGTGAGATCCTGCTGCCAGACACCTCCTCCTAAAGCAATATTAATATCACGTTTTCTCTTAGTGACAGCCAGAGCCTGGCCACTGATAAGTCTTTGGACTCAAAGTCTCTTCCTCCCACAATTTGTCATGCATCCTACCTTTCACCCGAGGCTGGTGGGCTCACACATGTTCTCTGGAGTAGCCACTGTGCTGGTCTCTTAGGGTGCTTTGCCACCTCGGAATTCCAGTAGCGCGTGTACCTTGTGTTATAATTTTGGTACTTCTGCAGTTCTGTGAAGTATTTTTCACATACAAAACTGACCTTCCCTTGTAGATTCTAAGTTCCCCGAAGGCTCAGGTGTCACTCCTTGTCTTTTGTCGACATTGCGCGTATCGAAGATAAGTCAGAGTTTCCTGTGCTGAGGCTTTTCACTGTTAGCTCCGGAGAACATGGGTACGGCAAATTGCTTTAGGACAAAACGCACTGGGAATGGGTTTTTTTGGTCTTGTATTGAACTGTATTTATCCACTACTTTGTAAACGTACTCGTGGCTGTACAGCATAAGCACAATTATTTTGGAAATAAAAGGAACTGTTTCTTGAGATAAACAACAGGGACCAGCATAGATTTGAACAGAATCTCCAGCAGGTGAATGCTGAATACTTGGGCTTATTGATTACTCGTGTTTATTAATTGCTCTTCTGAAACCAAACCATTTATGTTCCCTACATTACTTAAGCTTGAAGGGGCACATCAGTTGGTACAGACCTATGGTGATGTTTTCATTGGATGGAAAAGGTCAGAAATGACAAACTCCTTTCTTACCATTTGGGTGGTTGTCTGCCGTTCTCTGGTGTTGATCTCCAACCTGTGATTTGCTTGGAGGTGGTGGGAGTTTGACACGTTGAGATTGTACTTTGCTTATGATCAGAATGTTAAAAACTTACTTTCGTCACTGAGCAAGCAGTGTGTAAGCTAAGAGTTGGTGGAATTTTTATGTTTCTTGTCAGGAATGTCTCCATGCGGCTAGTAAAGAAACATACCATGTGGTTGAACTTGTTTTGGATCTCAAACGGTTGCGATTCCCTAATTTAGTGGTCTTAGAAGAGACAGCATATAGTCAGGTGAATGAAAATGCTGCACGTTTGGAGGGCACGCCTTCGAGAACGAGGTCATCATACTTACAAAGAGGCTGCCCCCTGCGAGTGTGAGGGGGTGGTTTTGTTAGTTTGGGGAGGAGGCCTGTTCTAGCAGGTGGCTTAGACACAGTCCTGCTGCGGTGTGTACTGTTGGCCAAGTATGTCATTGTGACGGATCTTCATGTGTAAAAATTAAACCTGAGGAATCTCCAGAGTGGATGAGATGTCCAGCTCACCTGTGTTATGGGACACATGACACAGTGAGCTCTTAGAGAAGGCTCGCCATGGGACTGGGGGCAGGAGAAGCGAACACGGATGTTCTCTGTGTTCTTGGGCTTTCGCAGGCTTGAAGTTTTTTAAATTTGTCGTCTGAGTCCAGGCGGAGAAAAGTTCCCCGCTTTTCATTTGGTCCGACACTGTCATCGAACCGGCCTGTGTAAAACGCCCGCTCTTGAGTGTCATCTGGATTGCATTTGCATGGAAATCTGAACTTGGTGGAGAAAGTGGGCATCATTCCTCTGTGTGACAGTCCGTTAAACACCAGTAATTCCCAGAGTCCGTGGCGCCCTTCCCCCTGCTCCAAGTAGAGCAGAGAGCACGAGCCTTGTGGGGAGGGGGCCGGCAGGGCTGGCCCTTCCCTGCGGGGGCCAGTCAAGTCCATGGTTCTCACCTCTGCTGCTCAAGAGGCCTTCACTTAAATTGTTGCTAAAATTAATAAAGTTTTAAATTTTGTAAATGGTTTCTAAACTTAGTGTACATGATTTTATAGCACTGATACACGCTGAAACTTTGGGTGGAAAAGAAAACTTAATTAGTAGGTACTCTGTGTGTTGATGAACTTAGGTCCTTGAATAGACTCAAACTCCATTTTTCTCCCTAGTTGATGAAACAGGAAGTCTTTTATCAGTTGCTAAATTGTGTTCTTAAAGTAACTTCAGACTTTAAAAATGTGACTTCTATTATGAAGAAAACTACTTTCTCATGATGGCTTCAATCTAATATTTGTGGAGGCAGCATGATAAAGTTTTTATTTATATTTTATCGTGGCAAAATGTAGGTAATGTGCAACTCGCCACTTGAACCCTTTTTGCTTGTGTATAATTTAGTGGCATGAAGCACTTTCACACCACGGTACAGCCCATTACCACCCTCTGTCCCCAGAACAGCTCTTTCTTTCCAACTGGGACTCTGTAGCCTTCAAGCAAATGCTCCTTACTCCCCTCTCCTGCCCCACGCTCCTTTCCTTCTCTGCGAATGTGACTGTTCTGGGTACCTCGTAGAGGTGGAATTGTACATTATCTGTTCTCTCGTGCCTGGCTTATTTCACTTAGCGTAATGTCCTCAAGGTGCATCCCGGTTGCAGCCCGTGTCAGAATTTCCTTCCTTTCTCAGGCTTGTGTTCAGATGTGTACATAAACTCGCACACACCACATTTTGCTCATCTGTCTGTTCCTTTGGCTGTTGTGCGTAGTGGTGCTGTGCGCATCGGCGTACAGGTGGTCTTTTCTAGTCTCATTCCTTCTGGGTGTATACACGGAGAGGCGGGGTCGCTGGCTCAGATGGGGGTTCTCCGTTCCACTTTTTCAGGGGGCTGCTGTGCTGTCCTCCAGCGGTGGCCAGGCTATATTCCATTCCCACAGGCAGTGAACGCACAAGGGTTCCAGTTTTCCCACGTTGTCACCAATGCTTGTTTTCTGTTTTTTGCACAGTAGCCATCCCAGTGGGTGTGAAGTGGTACCACTGTGGTTTTGGATTTGTCATTTCTTGTCGAGAGCTATTGGTTTTTCCATATTTTGCATCTATTTATATTTGAAGGTGTGTGTGATATTTAATTTATGAGCCACAAGTAAGCATGGCAGAAAAATATTCTGTAGGAAACGGTTGGCCTAGTCAACCAGACTTCTTCCAATTAACACAAGTACCTGAGCGGGGTATAGTGCTTTATTTACACTGACTTTGAAAGCGCTTAAAAATCGGTGCTAGGCCAATGTGGCTTTACTACTTTGTGGCAAAGATGACGCGGTCTCGGTTAGGACATCCGTCGACTGTGTCACCGTTAGAAGCGCTCCGGCCGTTGGCTCTGAGAAAGCGGCGCTGATGGAAAGCGGCGAAGGCCGTCCTGTCGGCATTTCAGGCGTTCGGGATCGACTCGCCAGGCCTGTGCTCTCCCCTCATTAAGTGGTTCTGTGTGGACCATCTTTATTTCCTTGGGTTTCTTGAGGAAGACGAACTACTGTGCAAGGCCGGGGCCCAGCTCCCGGGAGTGTCTAACATGCGCCTTTATTCCCAGAAACAGCGCCTCCCACTGGCAGCACAGACTGCTTGTCAGGCCGGGACGCAGAGTCAGACCGCAGAACCGAAGGTTTCACCTTAGGGTTCTTGGAAAGTTGAGGCTGTTCTGTTTGCTTCATTTCTTTACACAGTTTTAACACATGATGTATATTATTCATTACAAATTTGTAAAACTGTAATTGGTTCTTGAAATTGAGGCGATTTGGGGTTTGAGGTATAGTGAGACTCTAATCTTGAAGGGGGGATAGGTATGAGTTTTGACGAAGAACCATTTTATCTTTTTGTCGTAACCAGTGTGTTACAGTAACAATATCGTGTTATAAAGCACTGTAGTAACAGTGCTTGAATTCTGGAGAGCTGTGTGTAGACCAGCGTGCTGGGTGTTCATTAGTTGAAGCAGCAGGTCTGCTAGGAGTCAAGTACCCACCAGGTCACCAGTGACGGGCTGAGCAAACTCGGTTTGATTTGGAGCACCCAGTTACTCCTAGGGGGTTTAACACTGGTGGTAAACTCACTGTCCACACACATCTTGTTTAGAAAGGTTTGGCGTGTATCAATGGGACATTTTGTAGAACTTTCCCCAGCAAAGCATCTTGTCAGATTGCTCCTAAAAGCAAGTATTCTGTAAGAACTACATCGTGATTAATGTAGAAAATACCAGGGCCTTTACGTATGGTGAGTTAGCATAAAGGGTTACCATCTCTTACTTTGTTTCTTCAATTCTGGTTCACTTTGGCTTAGAATTGACATCGTTGGCAGTTGGGAATAGTAGTAGGTGATATGCTCTAAGAAAACCAGGACAGTGAATAACTGACACAATATTACTGTTAAACGAAGATAAATGTTCATACTTCTTTTCCTTGCTGCTGTGAAACTTTATATTTTTTCTGCCCTTACTTTGTAATCACCTACTTAATCTCTAAAAGTTGCTATTAAAATGATTGCTATTAAAAGTGTAAGTCTTTAATCTGGTTTGTTTTTATGGAATGTTCTATTTCTAGTTGATTAACACGTGCCCCCTTTTCTGGTCTAGAATGACTCTGCTCACGGTGATTACACGCAAAGCAATGAGGCCGGTTTGATAGAACAAGCCCCAGTACCTCATGACGGACTTACTGCAGCACCTCACAGAGCCCAGCGAGAAGGTACGCTGTGATTTTGAACCTGAAGCACCTGCTGGTGGAGAACTGCAGAGTGCTCTTTACATTGGTGGCTCTAACTCTTCCCTGTTCTTTCTGGAGGAGAGAGGCCCTGCTGGTCCTGAGTTTAGCTCCAGTGCCAGGCATCCCTGATCTTGAGTCCCTGTCTGGGCTCCTGCTCCCCAGAGCCTGGCTGTCCTGGCTGTGCTTTTTGGCCCTGCCTTGTCATCAGTTGTCTTGAATCTGGTTGCATGTTGCTGGAGGGCAAAGACCTTAATGTGCTTGCAAAGTGTTTAGGGCTTTATCGCTAGAATGTGGCTCAGGGTCTATGGAAAGACTTCAAATTTACAGAAGTTCACTGTAAGGGGGAAATTGCTGGAGTCCATGCTCCCTGCAGTGATGCAGTTTTCACGACGGCTGGGATGGGAGAAGGAGAAGACATTGCTGTGTGAAAAGAAATGAGTTCAGGCGTTCTGTTAGCGTTTGGGGAGTCTGTTACCTGTGGGGAGGGAAAAATTGACGTGGAAAATGCAGACTGCCACCTGGTCAGCCTGGGAGGGGACACAAAGCCTCACATTCTGTGACCACAGCCCTGAACGGACATGATTTTGTCCAAGTTAGTCCCAGTAATAATCCTTTTGGTGTAACGTGTTTTTCCTCACAGAGGAGGAAAAATAGGTATGACTGTTTAATGTTTAAAAAAGCTTACATTTCCATTCAAGACTATTCAGCTACTTGAATCACTTCATCCAAGCTCTCTGGACATGTGAGTCCCCTAAGGCACAGTTTCGTTTAACCATGAAGGTCCTTTTTAAAAAAAAAAAAATATATATTTTTCAAATGTATCAAAATGCTAGGGGTTAAGGTGGTATAACTTTTCTGTATTCTTAATTTCTCAAACACATGTATGGAATCCATGCTTTTTAGTTACAGTTTTTGAGGTTGGAGGATGCCCTCGCATTATCAGCCATCCCTCACCACATACCCTCTGTCCTCTGTCTGGATTCTGATAGATCACGGCAGGTAGAGCTCAAAATCGAGGCTGAAGACAGAGCCGTGTGCCGTAACGCTCTGGTGGCCCCGCTGCGGCCCACCCATGGGCAGAGGTCGAGCTGCGTTACACTTCTGAACGCAGGTTGTCAGTTCCGATGGCTTTTGTTTAGCAGCAGCATCCTTGGCGGAATTGAGTGGAAAGGCTTTTGGAAGCAGCAGACTTGCCTCCCCCACTTTGGCCTCTCTGATGCTGCGGGAGCTCCGAGGAGTCACGGGCTTCTCGCCAGGCTATGGGGGTTTTCGTTTGTCTCATTCTCAACATTTGTCACCCACTAAGGGGGAACTGGCCCAGAAGCAGGCCACCAGACACAGTCTATTTGGAAAGTTGTCACAAAATACTGGTAATGAGATCCCCTTAGTTGATTATGAATGTCTGTTTACCAGCAAATTTCTGTGTCTCATGTTTCTTGCTTTCTCATTGCCCACCTTCCGTGATCTATAACGATCTTAATTCTTCCTACATACTTTTGTTACTTTGTGTACTCGACTTCATCTATTTTAACTTCTTCCTCTCAGGCAAAGTGAACCCCTTCCTCCTCTGCTCCACCTCCTCCCCCTGAATCCAACAGTGGTGCTAGTCTGTTGGGTCACTTTGCTAGTTTCTTTCCCAAGCCCTTTATCATCTTCATTACTACCAGCCTCATTATTATTTAAGTACTGTTTATTTTGAATGAATCTAAAATGCTGTATTTGTAGTAATATGAATAACAGCTTTCAGAATTATCATCTCAGAAATAATCTTCACTGTGGGCACCTTTTTATTATTTATCTTTTTTATCTTTGGTGCTTAGCAGAGTGCTTGAGACTCCTTAGGCACCCAGCGTGCCGAGTGGGCGCAGAGAAGAAGCGCTTCATGGATGGGTGGCACATAGCTGTGCTTCTGGGTTGGTGTTTTGGTTTTTGGTTGGTTTTTTTTTGCTTTATTTCAAGATATAAGGGCAACAGTAAAGATGAAGATAAATAGCTTACTGATTTGTGTGTGTCGCGTCGGGTAACTGAAATGCATGTCTGGTCTCTGTAGAACGAGTCAGCCTGTTTTCTTTCTTTCAGCTGTGCACATTGAGAAGATAATGTTGAAAGGAGTCCAGAGAAAAAGGGCTGACAAATATTGGGAGTACACCTTCGAAGTAAGCTACTCTCACCCACAAGAGATACCTCCTATGTCATGTTAAATAATCTTTCGGAAAGAATGAAAAGTGGCCTTTGGAGAAACTTCTGGCAGGTTTGCTAACTTAGAAGAGCTATGCCTGTGCCTACGTTTGTCTGACCGGAGGGAACGCTCTGCTCGCAGTGTGTGCTGCAGGGTGGCCCAGCTCCCAGACCACCGTCATCTGAGACGGCCCAGCCCCTTTCATCAGAGAGGAGGGAGGGCCTTCGATGGAAGGTGTAAGATAAATCTTTCAGGAGGAAAAGGGAACACTCTCACCAGTACTTTTGAATGAGGATCCCAGGCCTTATCTTGTCCTGCGCTATTTCCCCTGATATTTTTCTCCTGTTTTTCTTTCTCCGTGGTTTTATTCCCTGGCCTTTGTGGCCCTGTCTTCTTATCTCTGATTGCTCTCCTGTCATTCTGCCCTTCAAGCAGCTCTAATTATCTTTCAAGCCCAGCTTTGTAAGGGCCCAGGTCTCCTTTTTGCCTGCCCATTGTCACATGGATTCCTTGTCCACGGCATCCTTGCTTCTCCCTGCCAGCCTTCCCTGTCTGTCCCTTTCTCTAGGGTCATACACGCCTTGAACCAAATGGAAAGACGCCGCGTCGCCGTGCTTCCTCCCTTTGGTTCCTCCCCAGAGGTGTTGCTTGCCGAACGTTAGCTCTGCCTTCCTCGTGAAGTCACGTCTGTTCTCCAGCAGGCCATCCTCACTCATTCGAGGTCCACCACCCTCATACCTTTCGCAGGCTCGCACGCCCGGGCCGCGTGCTCTTTCTCTCCAGTGGACTGTTGTCTCATGGCAGAGCAGGGACCTCCATCCTCGGTCACCCGGCCACGTCTGGCTCACTGAGCACATTTGTTGAACGAATTCCAGAGCATTGGCTTCTGCTTGGTGGGAGGAATATCCTCAATTTGCAGATTTTAAGTACTCATTCCTACTTTCCACTTGAGTTTTGTGACGTTGAGGCATAAAGCCGCGCCTTGCTCTCTGCATTCGGCGTCACCGGCCGTCCTTGTGCTGCTGGAGCTCTGCGGCTGTTCCTTCCTCAAGGTCCACACCCCCTGCTGTGGAGCGAGCTGCCCTCGGACCCTGCACCACCGCCAGCCCTGCCGCTTTCACGCCGGCCCTCCTGCTCCCTCCTCTGAGGGCTTTCATGGTCCCCATCTGACCTGCTTCTCCCTGCGCCAGCACCACGCCCTGCTCATTTTCTCTGGAGCGCTGCCCGCTGGCGGGAACCGTACCTGCCTGCTCTTTTCACGTGTGTCCCGCACTCTGACCCCAGCCAGCAGCGCCTTGTCCACTCCTATCCCCTTCCCTGAGACAGTGTCTGCCAAGTAGCTGCTGCACAGACACCTGAGTGACTAAAATTCATCCGAAAGATGTGTCAGTAGGTATTTGCTTTGAGGTTTGCCAGATAAAATTCTGTATGTCCAGTAGGTCCTTGCATAATAGCTTTTCACTTAATGTTGTCTCATTAAAATTAATCAGATGCCCTAGGAACTGAACTCTTGTTCGTATCAGTTAGCCCATGGTAAAATCAGCCTTATCAACATCGTTTTATTTGAGTCACAGTACCTACTAGTGACGTTAAGTAAGGACTTACTGTATTTATAAGTGTCTGATTCATTATTAATATGATACAATTAGTTGATAAGCCTTAGATATTAGCATAGTTCAAGTATTTACTTAGCTCATTCGAGTATAAAGTAGAAATTATTAGTGGGTCACCGTCAGGTCCACTGAATTAAAAGTATCCAAGAGATAAAGCAGCAAATAGATTTTCGTTCTGGCTACTTGTGGTTACATAGGGTCAAATCTAAGTAAGACCTTTTTGAGTTTTAATTTCCCCATCTTTAAATGGGTCATGCGTGCCCCATAGACCTTAACAGATGTTAAAGAATTGAGGTGAAGATGAAGCCTCCTCAGAAGCCCCCATAAAAACACAGCACAGCGTCTCTGAGGAGGGGGCCAGCACTGGTTCTTGTTCTCAGGAAGGTGCGCTCAGGAAGGTGAGCTCAGGAAGGTGCGCTCAGGAAGGTGCGCTCAGGAAGGTGCGCTCAGGAAGGTGTGCTCCGCAAGCCCCAGGAGGAGGGGTTTCTGTCCGTGGGGTGCAAAGCCGTGCTGTCCGAGCATCCCCGCGGGGTTCTGCAACCTCCCAGGACGAGTGTGAGGCGCTCCCCTTTCCAAAAAATCACTGCAATATAGTCATGTATTTTTAAAAACAGATTTTTAAGAAGACCATGTGATTTGAAAGGAGTTGCGAAAATCTTTTTGAGTAGAGTATATTAGTGGACTGTTAATTTTAAAAACTTGAAGAAATGATGACAATGCCAGATTAACTTTACATTTCTAGTTATTAACATCTTAATACAATTTAAGTAGGCTCTTTGTTGTACACATGGCTTTTTTCCCGTCTCTTCCCAGCCTAAGAAGTAACCATTTAATATGTGTTTTTTTTTAAATCAGGTAAATTGGTCTGATCTTTCAGTTACCACAGTAACAAAAACGTACCAAGAACTACAGGAATTTCTACTGAAGGTAAAAGTATAGATTTCTTTGTTAAAATGACTTTTACGTAATATACAGAATCCAAAACCTTTATATCAAAATAAATACCAGGAATATTAAAACACGTATATGCAGCCTTGGCCAGGTAGCTCAGCTGGTTAGAGCATCGCCTCCAAAATGCCAGGGTTGTAGGTTCCTTCCCCATCAGGGCGCACATATAACCAGTGAGTGCATCAGTAAGGGGAGCAACAAAGTGATCTCTCTCTCTCTCATTAAAAAATAGAAACTTTAAAAAACATGTATACATGTTGGAGAACTCTCCATGAACATTGGCTGTGGAAAATGACACATTACTCTGAATACAAGTATTCTTACCTTACATTACCATTGTAAGGACATGATGAAGGATTTGTAACATTTTTTAAACAAATGGTACTTTACTTCTGCTTCCTTGTCGAGATGTGTTCTTGGGGGCTGCTTGCAGGAGCCCCAAGACTCAGTCTGCAAAATGAGATAGGGCTCATTTGTGTTTGGTTGTGGTTCTTCCATCTAGTGGCTCTCTGGCTCCCTCTATGGGCTTCCTTGAATACATCTCGTTTGTTCTTGTGAGGTCCAGGTGGCCCTCTGCTCCTCAGAAGGATAGGATTTCCAAAGTATCGAGAATAAGGGATAATGGAAACATCTTATTACAGACTTACCCACGTGACAGGCATCTTAGATCATTTTGTTCAAACTCACTTCTGTTTCTTTTCTACTAGTGTTAATTTTTAGAACAGCATGTGAATAGAGATAAATATTGAAATAGGGAATAGGTTTAAATGGTTAACCAATAAATTACTGTTTCTCAATAAGCAGACGTTTCAGAATTTATTGTTAACACAGAGCTAAAACAAAGTCCAGAAGCAGGAAACATTCCCCACTCACTTACTAACTTTCAGGTAAAGGAGGGACAGAGTGACTGAACTGGTAACATACGAAATTCTCAGGACAGTGCTGGTGTTCAGCTGTCTGCTTGTCACCGTGCATCTGCCCTCTCGGGTCACATGGCTTTCTGTTTGCCCGTACAGCTGAGAGGCTGTTTGTGTCCAGCTTGCCCAGCTGTGCACGGTACAGGCGGGGGGGGGGGGGGGGGGGGGCGGGGGGGACCGCCCTCAGATTACCGTGCTGTCCCCACTGGGTGGGATTTCCCTGGGGCGACTGGACCATTTTCATTGCCCGTGGCTGTTTTAACCTGACTGCATGTAAAGGTGGGGGGTTGTTGATTTCAGATCACTGAAGGTCACATGCACGTGACGCGTCAGCCTCAGACCGCAGGGAGGAGGGATGGTGGGGGAGGGACGGTGGGGGGTGAGCCCTGTTGGTCGGGGCTGAGGCCCTCTGCAGCCCCCCGCCCCCCCCAGGAGAGAGTCACTCCTGGCTGATGTCCTGCCTGCTGAGGAGCAAGTATGGAAGTGTGTCCCCAACCCACCCCACACACACGTTTCAAATTCTCTTATACCTATTTGTGACCTTTCTCTCTGGACAGAAGACATTTATCAGAGTTGACGGGCAGGTGTACTCATGAGCAGGCTCGTGTGGGTTAGCAGTGTGCTTCTTGTTCCTGTCTTCTCTTGCCCTTTCTGGGACCACGCTCTGGTGCAGGAGGGCGGGTTGCAGGCAATGGACAGCCAGCCGGAACTAACTGTCCCTGAACTAAATACCAGGAACGTTACAATACGCATATGCGGTGCAGGGGTGGGCCTGGCGGAGTCCAGCGCTGCCGCCGTCGCACTGGTTCCACACCCAGAGTGAGCGGGGCTGCCGCTCACCTGCCCACTGCGCCTCCACGGCCCGGGGCCTGGCGCCCGGGCAGTCTCTCCCACTGGGCCTCCCGAGGCTTCAGCTGCTGTTCATCTGAACACCTTTCCTTTTCATCATGCAATTGTTCTAAAAGCTTAGGTACTTGAAAAAATACAGCCCCAAATAAATAATTCACTTTTCAGAGCCATGATGACTAATTGTCCCCCTGCTTAGCCATCATTTGAATACAGTATTTTTCTAAATTAGGACAAATGCCTTATCAGGTTTTATGAAATAATCGGCAACATTGTGTACTTCTAGAAATGTATTGCTTATTTCAAGTACATTTTCAAGTTTACTATCTAGCTTTTTATTTCTTACCTTCCTTTTAAAGTCATCTGCAAACGCTAAGAGCAAAAACCGTTCTGTGGACAGCATGTACATTCTAACTTCTGTAGTTGGTCTTGAATCATGGTTCTGTTGTGCCATGATGTAGGGGAGTGAGTTCGAGGTCAGCGCGTTCACATTCTTGTTTTCCCATAACCGGCAGCCTCTGTCCTCCGCATCCTCCCAGCCCCCTTCGCCCGCTGCTCCTTAGCGACTGTCTGACACCTGTCTGGCGTTGCGTGTGGCTGTGTGGGAGCTCCGCAGCAGCAGGGCTGTGTCTTCGTTCCGGGCTGTGCCCGCAGTGCCTGTGACTGTGCCTGGGGCAGTTGGGGGATTTGTTGATGGAACAAATACACAAGGAGTCAGAAATTGTGGTGGAGCCTTGTAGGGGCTTGGTTCTCTGTTAGGCCTCTGAGTTTTTTTTTTAAGAAAAGCTTGCAAGAGCAAGATGCGAACCTTCCAGCACTCTGAGCGTGTGCTGAAGCTGAGCTAGGCCTCCGCAGGCGGGAGGCTAGGCGTGCTGGAGCGGAGACCGAGGGTGCAAAAATCCAGAACAGTGACTAGAAGAGAAGAGACGATTTAAAGCTATATTCTTAGCAAGTATGCCTTCCTCTAGAACTGGAAATAGTCTCTGGGAATTAAAGATAAAACCCACTGGAGAGTAAGTCGGGTTGCAGATCTCTGCACATCCACACACTGCCCAGAGAGAACGCTGTCATGAGAACAGCTGTGGAGCAGGTGGGGGCTGACCTGCTCCCGCCTTCCTGGGTTTAGAGCAGCCTCGGCAGTTCGGGAGTGGACTCCACGGAGCTGGTTTCCTGTGGCTGGTGCACGTGTTCAGCAGAAACCCTGCTTAAAGCAGGGACTAGATGCCTACTGTCCTGACTCTTTCGAAATGTAGATACTGACGTGAGCACTCACTTCTTCGGAAAATGTGCAGATTTGGAACGTGTTTCTTCCTGCTGCTGGTCAGAGGACCCGGTGGTGTTCCGGGTGCCAGCCGAGCCGTCGACCGCAGCAGGTTAATAAAGAACCGGGAGTTTCATTCTCACGGAACACCCTGATTCCACCATCTCACTCTTCCTGAAACGGATGCCACTTTCTGCTGCCTTTGTTGAATTTTCCATTTCTGAATTGCTGACTCAGAATTCCGATTTGTCAGAAGAATGCGTACTGTGGGTTTTCCGATTAAAGATCAATATCTCAACCGACCCTTCATATAGACTGTTGTATTCCTGGGTCTCCTTAGATACTGAATTAATGGTTCTACCCTGAATTTTAATGGAAGTGACAGTCATTTAAAAGTGAGTTGCAAAGACTAGTTATCAAAAGTCAAATGTAAAACTTTGAATTCTTGAAAGACTTGGAAAGGTAGTTTTATATAGAATTATTATATTAAGAATTTTAAAAAGTACACTGGTTTCTAAATATAATGACTTAAAATTCTGTCTTTAATTTAAAATTTTTCATGCCCAGTGATTTTTTTTTTTTGTGGTTTCTTATACATTGTTCTGAGGGTGCCTCCATCACATTGAGGAAAAGGTTACTAAACACTTCAATTAGAGTTTCTTTTTTTAAATGCACGTTAGAGTCAGAGTTTTCACCCCGTTTTTCACACCCAGCTCTTGATATCATGTCTGGCACCGGCAACCTGATGTTGCCCGAGATTCGGTGGGAAAGGCGGCACAGAGGGGATAACTGTAAAGGCGAGAGCATGCTTTTCAGAACACGGTTTCAGGGTAAAAATAGCACTGGCTGCGCTGTTCAAAACGCTCCTTCAGACTAAAGAACCTCGGTGTGGTGTCCCTTCAGCGTGGCATGTGCCAGCTCAAGTGCAAGGTCGGTGCAGGCGCGCCCCAGAAGCGTGCTGAGAGCCGCTGGGGGCCCCTGCTCCCTGGGAAGCCCCGAGAGCTGCCTGGAAGGCGGGCGGCATGTTTCCGTGTGGGCGTCCCTGTGCCACTTCCCAGCGGGGCCCTGTGTGTGAGGGTGAAGTTGGAGCTGCGCTGGGGGTGCGGTGACTGAGCAGGGGCGTCTGTCTGCCTCCTGTCGTTTGCAGCATACACACCTACCAGCCAGTGGAAACTTAACACCGGCCCTGTGCTTCTTCTTCTCCAGCTTCCCAAGGAATTGTCTTCAGAGACGTTTGACAAGACCATCCTGAGAGCCCTGAATCAGGGCCCGCTGAAGCGAGAGGAGCGGCGACATCCTGATCTGGAGCCCGTCCTAAGGTACCTGTCACCGATGCTGCCCCGGCGCCCGGCGGTGTCCCAGACTGGTGGCCGGCTGTCCGCAGGCCTTGTGAGGCAGAGCCCTGGGGCTCTTTCTCGGAGGATTTTTTGCAGTGGACTCTTCCTCCTTCTGATATTTAGGTCTGGGCTCACAGTAAGACACCACACTAATGCTTTTATCATTGTGCGCCTCACCTCTCCCGAATCCAAAATGATTGCTTCTCAGGTATGCAGATGTGCAGTGAAACTTCCTTTCCCCAGGAAGTATTTATTGATAGAGGCCCTTGTCCAAAGCTTGGCTTTGAGATGTGTTTGTGTTGTTTTAAGTTGTCGAGTAAGATTAGGCCAGTGGGTGTGAAGGTGAAGGAAACACCACTTCCTGAACGCCTGCTCCCGGGACACGGTGGGTCAGCACAGCGGGGGTGCGGGCACAGTGTGGTGGTTGAGGTCAGGGCTTTGCCCTTGTGAGGTTGAAGGTGATTGGAAAAGACGGCGTGGGCAGGAGGAGTGTGGCACATGCTGCCCACGGTGGGGAGCACAGGCCCTGTCTGGGGTCAGCTCCCAAAGCACCCGAGTGCCTGGGGAGATAGGAGGAGATGGGGTTGGTGGGAGGGGTGCAGGTGGAGGCAGGGGTCATTGGTGGCACGAGTCCTTACACAGGCAGGTAGGTGTGGATATAGTTTCACGAGGCAAAGTTGAGGGAACCTCTTAGCTAACGTTTTTTTCTTCTAGAGTAAGAGACGTGCTAAAGAAGCGGCCGACTGAGGGTGGGACCAACTGTTTGAGAGCAGAAGGTGACCGGGCCGCTGGACAGGGGTCGGAGCCCAGCTGGGACGGGAGCTTCACAAACCGCGGTGCTTTGGGTCTGTCGATGTGATTGTTGAAAACCGTCCCAGCGGTTCAGATCCAGAAATTAAGGAAACATGTGGATCTCCGTTTATTTCTGTTTCCAAACGAGGGGTTGGCTCTTTCCTGAACTGATGGTTTCCTGTATGGTTCTTTACTCTGCGGTCTTAGGCATACGACACGTCTGGGTTTCTCACCCTGTTGGCCTGTCATTCTTGTTGCAGGGTCACGTGCTAATTATTAGAACTTCATCGACTATGAAGAGCTGGTAGATCTGGCTCTTTCTACTCCTGGTGCAGTTTAAAACACTCTTCCATGTTCTCAGATATTTGTTCTTCAGCTCAAACAGTTTCAAAGCTTGTTTCTTAGGCACTTCAGGAGGTGCTCTGAACTGCGACTCAGGCCTTGCGATGCCAGTGCCCACGTTCTCCATGTGACTTGTTTTTCTGAACTTGAGATTTGTCTTCACTTTGATTATATTGTATGTCCTTTTCCACAGCACACAAAAGTTTTATTTTTGAGCATTCAAATTTCTGATTTTAATGGTTTCTAGGTATTATGTGGTCCTTTGGAAGTTTTCTCATACCCAGATTGTAAATTGCGTGTTTTCTGTCTTGCATTGAAATCTCTGAGCCTTCTAGAGTTCATTTTGATGTGGGTAATAACAGAGTCCTTGTCAGCTCCCGTCCTCTTCTCTCCTGTCCCTCCGAACTGTGGAGCCCTAGAGCCATTCAGTAGGACAGGGCAAGGTAGGCAGCAGTGTCTGGTTCGGGGGGTGTAGCCTAATGACCTAAAGACAGGGACCCTGAGGAACCCACCGTGATGGTGGGGGGAGCCTGGCACTGTGGTTCCAAGGGCAGACACGTGAGGGGTGGCCCTGGTAGGCCCTCGGAGCCCTGGTGGGGTTCGGAGGGCCCCTGCACTGAGGTCGAGAGGGAGCAACGGTGTCAGTGGCAGGCGAGTGACTGCAGGGAGAGTGGCCTGAATATCTTAGTAGTGAGAGCCGGTTTTCTCTCTGTTGGAGCAAAGAGTCATGGTGTGGAAAAAGAAAAACGGAATGAAGCCCAGAGTTGTCTCACCGGAATTGAAGGTATTGGTGCGAACTCACGATTGTCGGTATACGAAGTATACAGCCATGTAATGTGAAAACTAAAGACATTTATTGAAGAAGATACAAGATACAAGAAACATTGTACACAGGACAGTAATGCTTCAGTCCACTTCAAAGTAGGCACCTTGGGACCTCACACAGTTTTCCCAGTCCCCATCAGCTGCCCCACTGTGTTTTCCTGAATCTCATCGATAGTCTGAAATCTCTTCCCTTTCAAAGGTGCATTTAGTCGGGGAAATGCCAAAAGTTGCAGGGCCCCAAATCTGGGCTGTAGAGGGGCTGAGTCACCTGGGTGAGCTGATGTTTTGCACTGAAAGGGTCTGGAAGCAGCCACACTCCAGTAGCAGTGGGCGGCACCTGGGGGACTGGGAACATCCTCCTCCACTGAGTGGAACCGGGGCTCCGTGGGGAAAGCTGACTGCAGGGCTGGAGCAGGGAGAGTGCGAGGCGAGGCTGTGGGGCCAGACCCAAAGCAGGGCTCCAAGACGGCGTGGCCGGGGCAGAAGGGCACAGAACCAGCTCGAAGGGGCTTCTAGTGGCCAAACCGAACATCAGAGTAAATAATACTAACATGGAAGAAGATAGGAAATTATGAGTTCATTTTGAAATAAATAACAAAAGAGAAGAGTGACTTTAGGGCAGAGAAGCCTGGCGAAGCCACTGAAGAGCCCTGTTTGTCCTTTCCTGACCATGCAGGTAGTTTAAAATGTATTCTAGTCAGATTTTCTTCTCAGTCTTTTATGATTTCAGGGTTTTGTGTCCTGCTTAGAAAAGCTTTTCTTCCTGAAATGGTATGTAAAAAAAATTTTTTGATATAGCCCTTTTCAGAAAATCTTTGGAATCATTTTTTGAATTCATTAGCATGGTATCTGCCTGTGGTCTCAACACCATTAAGATGAGGCCTTCCTTCTCAAATTCAAAATATTAATTATCTCATGGGACATAGGAAGTGAGTTTATGAGTGAAGTGGAGATGGCACAGCATGGAAGGGCGCACTGCGCGCCATTCCAGACACACTGCGCGTGAGGAAGAGGGGACGTGGCGCCGGCGTGCACGTGGCGTTGGATGGTTTGTCGTGTCAAAATGAGACGCTGTTCTTGTTAACTGTGAAGTAGTTTGTTTCCTCTTTGACTTTTTAATATGGGTGTACTTGCCATGGTTTGGTCTTGAGTTAAGGAACCTTGACTTCAGTCTGTGACTGACTTTGAGCCCGAGCCGGTGTCTCAGGCACGGTTCCCGTGGTGCATTCGCACTTGGCATGTGGAGTCGTAGGTCGGCCTGGGTTGTCTCTCGGGACTCGGGCCTGGAACTGAAGGCGAGCCAGCCTGCACTTGTGACCTCCTGGTTGTAAATGTGACTGGGTAGTAGGTGCCACCACTGCCTTTGGGTTTCGGTCCTCAGTTTTATATGATGTGTTTAGACCTGGAGATTCAGGTCAGCTCCTAACTTCATATCTGAGTTTTCCTTTCATCTGTTCATTTCCCCCTTTTGTTTTCCTATTGAATATTTACTTTTACACTTGAGTACCGTAAAGCAATTTCACTTTACGTATAAGGCAACTGTGGCCCAGAGGGTCATATCTTAGTATGGGATTTATTGGTTTGTGATTAATCTGAATGGTATGTCAAAAATCTTGGGGAGAAATTACGAATTAACATTTTAAATGAGCATTTCAAGTGCTCAGAAGTACTGACAGGGGGTTTGTATGCTGAGCAGCAGGGTGACAGTTCAATGCACCTGTACTTTTGTGAGCCCCTGACCTTGAGGAATTGGGGGTTTCCCTGTGAGGAAATTGAAGCCAAAAGGCTTGTGCAGGGTCATTCAGCTTTTAAGTGGCTGAGCTGGCATTCAGGCCCAGGAGGAAACTTTCCATTAGATGGAACTGTCACTCTGCCCCTTTTCGTAGGAAAGACCTCCAGTCGCAATCTTTTAATTATGTTAATAAAATATGAGAAGTCAGTGTGCAGAGGTATGAGCAGAGAATCACGGCGCGATGCACATCGAAGCCAACGGTCACTTAGTCGCGCTTTAGGACGTAGTGGTGCCCGTAACTAACCTGACCGCTACACCCCCTCGTGTCCGGGGCTCCCAGCACCCCAGCCTCCCCAGCCTCCTGTGCTCAGAGTACAGGGAGCTTTCTCCACGAGGAGGAGGAAAGAGGTCCCACTTTTTTCTGATCAGAGCGGCCGGACCACTTGGACAAAGGCTGAAATAGCATGCGTTTTTGACTAGAATTGAAACCTTACCATTATATTATGTAAAATTAAAAATAAGCTTGTTTATCAGAGTCTTGCCAATCTTAAGTTTTATTCAATTCCTCCTTTGGGAAATGCATTGGAAAATAATATTCTATTCCTTAGGAAAACAATTTATTTTTATATGCCTGAATTAAACGACCACCTGAGTTTGATTTACAGTCTGAACTCTGACTCTTGTGTATTTATATGACATGAATTTAACAAGTCTCTTTTCTTTTTTACACGCAGGCAGCTATTTTCAAGTTCATCCCGAGCTTTTCTGCAGAGTCAGAAAGTGCACAGCTTTTTCCAGCCCATCCCATCGGACCCTCGCCACGGCCTCAGTAAGCCCCTGCTCTTCTGTCTGTGCTGGGCGGCTTTCCTGCCTGGGTTTCTTGCTTTGCCATCCTAGGGGGGCAGTCACTGCAGTGATAGTCCCAGAATAGAGGCATACTGTGAATGAACGTGTGGTTTCAAGTGAATTTTATGCTGCAGTTCTACGGAAAATAACGTCACAAAACAGCCGGACTCGAAGCTGGGGCCGAGCCTCTGACACGCGTGGGCACGCAGGGTGCCCGGGTTCTGCGGCACTCCTTGGTGACGGCCATGGAGCAGCCGCGGCGCTGGCTGCATGGTGCGCAGCACCCTCTAGTCAGCCTTTCCCCCACGCCCTCTGTTCCCAGGGCGACCTCTCGGCCTCCCAGGCTGCAGACCTTGGCCTTGTTCTTCCCATTTCTGACGCCATTGTTGAAAAGCCGAGCAGCACCAGACACAGGACGCCTTCCGTTCCACCCCCCCCCTACCGGTCACTCTGCTGCCCGGGAGGCCTTTTGTCTTCTCTTTCTTGCAGAGACTGGGTAAAGCCCGGCCCTTCTCTCACGGTCTGATTCTCACCGTACTTTAACCTCTCCCAGGACCATGTCAGGGGTCAGTTTCTTAATCACCTGTTCAAACAAAGTTTGGTGTGGAATTCAAGCCCTGCCTGGAGCCTCACGACCCTCCTTCCTCATCTCCTGTGGTTTGGCTGCTGGCCGGTGGGACAGGCCCCCCATGCTCCCGGCCTTTTCCTGCCCCAGCGTCGGGGCTCATTGGACGCCCAGTCTTAATATCCTTCCTCTCCTCTCAGCCTGTGGAACTCATACCTGCTTTAAGGCTCAACAGAAGTATCACGTCATGAAGATTTTCTAGTTTTTTCTTATGTTCCTGTAGCTTGATTTTGCCCTTACATTTCAGCATTCATCACAGTCTGCCTTGTGTTTAGTTTTATGCACGTTTATCTCAGCTGCCTTTTTAAACAAATATTTTGCCAGTAACATTGGTGTGTGCCTTAGGAGAATCTGCTAATTTTAAGCACAGCCACAATGGCAAGTGGCTAAGTTTTTTGTTTTTGTTTTTTTAAATCTTTCCTCCTGCTTTCAAGAAAGTCCTATTTTCCTGTATTTAATGGAGAAAGAAAATACATTGTTTTCTCAATTTTAGATGGGAGAAGAAAAGGTAAAAATGTATGATTAGATATTGTAACATACGGGTTAACTTTTAAAGTTTTTGAATCATTTATGTGTATAGGTGTGTGTATATGCCTTAAATATTTTAAACAGCTAAGTAGCAATTGGGATGAATGACTCTTCGTGACCAGTGGACTACAGCCAGGTGAACAACCATGTGGTTAAATCTGCATCTGAATAGTGGCCGTAGCTTTTTTAGAAAAGAGAATCCTGGTCATTTTAGAGCTGCTGTAGATTCAACAGTCGGTGCTTTCTACTTAAACCAAGTTCAAGTGCTTTTCATTGACTGCCTATAAATCACATCTGTCTGGTTCTGAAAAGGCACTGGAGCACAAAGTCAAACTTTTAATTCCAATTTTAATGGGCTGCCCAGGAAACCTCAGCCAAGTGAGTAGCACATATGTAAACGGCAGGAAACGCATGTTGAGAGCTTGGCAGGATTTAGGTGCTGTGAGCAATGAACGCTAAAGAAGCTGGGAGATTTGGTTTCAGATTGTTGTGAAAACAATTTTTAAATAAAGTACATGTTGAGATCATGGGAAATCTGGTCAGGATGTCTAAGCTGTTTCACCAAAGAACACGATGTCCCAGTTCATTTGCATGTGCTTTGTTGGAGAACAGCAGCTCCGCCTTTTTCTCCTGTGGGACAGAGAGTGGCGTTCCGCAGCCGGACGCCTGCGAAAACCAACGCTGGACTCCCGAATGACTTGCAACATCCGACCTGGGGCCCGCCAGCCCGCACTTAGAGGGAGAAGTGATCCCGGGCCGTCACCGCGTGCTCTGAGCTTGTGCCGGTCCCTGGGGTGCCAGCCCCTGCTCTGTACCAGAAGAAGGGACCCTGAGAGGACACCCTGAGTCTTTGTAGCCATTGGGCATTGCCACAACATTGTTGTTGTGTTTTATAAAAGTACCGGCCCACAACAACTAGAGATTTTGAAGAGCCTCACAACACGAAGTGTCAGAGAAGCACTGGAGCACATGCCGCACCCGCTCCAGGCCTGTGGCTTTAATGGGGAGACCTGGCTCCACAGTTCGGGGTCCCCAGGCCCAGTCCAGCATTCTGTGCTCTGTGTCCTGCTTTCTCAAAGGTTCTGTCTGGTGGAGACGTCCTGCGCTCACTCTCCACTCTCATCTTCCCTGGGGGGAAAATAATCATTGTATTTGTTGTGTGTATCTCTCTGTGGTAATTTTTCTAAAAAGTTAATGGCATTGAATACTTTCCACAGATAACTTGCAGTCCTCTCTGAAGACTTCCAAGATATTAGAACACTTAAAAGAAGACAGCTCAGAAGCTTCAAGTCAAGAGGAAGGTAAGTGTTGATTCATTGGAATAAGTCATTCTGCTTGATATTGGGACACGGATAGGCAAAGAAGCCATCAGAACAGAATAAGGAGCCAGGAAACAGATATATGGGAACCTGGAATGTAACAGGTAGCGTACAAACAAGTGGGGAAAGGAGAGACCACCCAGTGAATGGTGTTGGTTGGCTTTCCCATTGGAAAATATAGGATTAGATCCCTACTTATATTAAGCACAGAAATTTCAAGTGAATGACAAATTGTATGTAACATAAAGTTAGTGTAATACATAAAATATAAAACTTAACCTTTTAAATGTTAATCTGGGACAAGAAGGCTTTGTTGACAAGGCAAAGCCTGAGCGGAGCTCCTTCTACTCTAAGTTAGAATTTAACGTGGGACGAGCAATTGGGATTGGAAGACGAGGGCAAGATGCTTGCAGGTGAGGTGACATCCACACTACACCAGAGATTCTTCAACAGCCAGGGAAAAAGTCAGTCTGATTGGCAGCATTTGCAAAGACAGGCAGTTCACAGAAGAAGGAACTTGAAAAGCCATTAAACAGTGTTCAACTTCTTGAGTGGTCTGGAAAAATGCAAATGAAAAAAAATTAGGTATGGTGAATACAGAATACAATATATAGGTGATGTATAATAGAATTGTACCCCTGGAACCTGTATAATTTTATTAACCAATGTTACTCCAAAAAAGTCAATAGAAAATAATTAAAACACGTACATATCTAAATACATACATACGTACAAAGGAGTATCATTTCACAGTCTTTGAATTGGCAAAACATTTTCTCTGTGACATCAACGATGCAAAGTAACAGGAATTCTTATCTACTGCTGATGGGAATTTAAATTGGCACAAGGATTTTGGACAGCAATTGGACACTGGTGAGGTGGAGGTAATTAACTGGATGCTTGATGCTACTGCTGGCCATTCCACTTCCATGAAGATTGTCCCTGGGTCAGGGGTCAGGGGTCAGGGGCTGGGTTCTCAAGGCACCGTTGGCATAATAGCCCACACCCGATGTTAACCCACAAGCTTTCAATGTTAATCAAGTTAAAAGTAAATTGTGGCCTATTTGTGGCCACTCGGGGTGTCATTTAAAATAATTACAGTGTCTTCAGACAGACAACACCACCACCTGTTTCTGCAGATGAGGACAGCGACAGTGAAAATGAGCCTGGAGTGTTTCAGCCGTTAGCCTCGGCAGGGAGGGGCGTGGGGCGGGTGGCCGAGGGCCCCAGTGGTTTCTGGGCCGTTCTGTTACTTAATAGGAAGAGACATCTAGAGATTCTGCGGAGGTGGGTCCATGGGTGTTTGTTGCACTAACTGATGTGTATTTTTAATATTTGAGACACTTCATTTTTTAATGGTTTTTTTAAAGCCTGGAATTGAATGTTGTAGTTTTGCAGTAGCATGCTCATATTAACTTTTCTAGTTTTAGACAAAATTGATTTACTGTTAGGTGAACACATTTCAGGTGATATTTAAGGAAATTCGATCATTTATTGTATCTTTTGAAAAATGGATTCTTTAAGGAATTTTCTGTGAAAAATGCTCTACCAGGTCTGCTGACATGGCACGATCCTTCCGGATTTTACCAGAGCACTTGGCGTAATAAATGGTTTGTCTTTTTTCTGCCCTAGATGTGTTACAGCACACGGTAATGCACAAGAAACACGCTGGGAAAAGTCCCTCTGGGAAGTAGGTATTTCGTTCCTGAAATGAGCACTGTTACTGCATGTTAACTCCTGTCTCACTTACTGTAACTACTGGTAAATAGTTGGCTGTACGTCTACCATTTCACTGTTTGCTCATGATTTGTCATATGTTTTCTGTGCTTTCTTTTTTCTTCTTTCATGCTTTTGGATGGTTTTTATTCTTTTGTCCTTATGAGTCTTGATAGTTACACCCCATTTTTGGATTATTCTGGTGGTTATCCTGGACATTATATTGCACATCTTTGACTTTCTAAGGTCTGATATCAGTTGTGCTTGCACCACTTACCATGTGAGGACCTTCTACGCTGTAACTTCCCTTATCTCCACCTGCCTTACAAACCACAGCGGTCATGTATTTTAATTCTATGTTTTAAACCTCGTGAACCTTTTTTTTATTAGTGTAACATCAACCATTCCATTGTCCTTTACTCCTTCCTGTGTGTCTGGGTGTCCATCTCTGATCGTTTCCCATCTGTCTGAAGAACCCTTGACTATTTCCTGTAGTCTTATCTGCCAGTGAGGAATTCACTTGGTTTTTATCTGTAAAAAATACTTGTTTTTCCCTCAGTTTTTGGAGGACATTTTTGCTGGGTATAAGATTCTGGGTTGGCAGTTATTTTCTGTTAGTTCTTTGAAACTACACAGGCATACCCTGGTTTATTGTGCTTCACAGATATATTTAATTAAGGTATGTACATTGTGTTTTTAGACATAGTGCTATTATTGCACACTTAATAGGTTAGAGCATAGTGTGAACATAATTTTTATGTGCACTGGGGAACCAAACAGTTTGTGTGACCTGCTTCATTGTGATGCTCGCTTCATGACTAATCTGGAACCTAACCCACAGCATTTCCAATGCAGTTTCACTGTCTTCCCATCTCAGTCCTCCGTCCCTTGCATCGTTTCCCCTCAGCCCAGCTCCTCATCGTCTCCTCTGATTTCTGCTACAAACCACGTAAAGTCATTTACATGATTTCTGTCTCCCCTCACATTACTGCCGTCCCAAGAATTTCCACCTTCTGCCGCAGGCCGTTTGCTGATTCTGTTGGGCCTGCTTGGCCCTCAGCAAGCGCAGTTGACCCATGCCAGTCAGCTTGCCTGGAGGTTGGTCCTTAACTGATGGTGGAGCCCCAGCTTCCTGTCCTTCGGGGAGACAGCTGGGGGGGGTCACAGCCAGCTGGAGCCTCTGTTGCTCACAGCGGCTCCCTTGGTAATGGACCCTCCGCTGGTTTTTCCTCCCGTCCTGTTTCATTCTCTCTGATCCTTGCTCCTGCCTCCTGGGATCACCTCCCAAGTCTGCGGTGACATCCCAGATTCTGCTTTTAGGACAGTTAGCATCCATCGTTTCAGTCTTCTGGTTGCTCTTTGGAAGTTAATGTGCTTTTCAAACTCCTCTCTTTAGTATTTTCTCGTCTGGTTTCCAGCGATGGGCCTATAGTATGTTTGTGCTTTCTTCAAATTGAGTTCTGCCTCTTGAGTCTGAAGCTCGGCCTCTTTTGGTGTTGAAGAGCCCAAGCCCTTACTTCTTCAGCTATTGCTTCTTTCCCGTTCTCCTGCTCCCTCTTCTAAGACTCGGAGAACTCACGTCAGACTTTTCACCATGTCCCGCATCTGTGAGACTTTTTTTTTTCCATACATTTTTTCTCTTGGTGCCCTCATCTATTTTCTTCTGACCGTATTTCCTCTTCTCTGATTTTTTCATCTGTTTCTGTCCATTGCATCCTTCATTTCATTTCATTCTGCAGTTACAGAATTTACATTTGTTTTTTTATACTTTCCAGTGTTCTAAGATTCTCAACCTTGTAGTCATTGATCATATTAAGCGCTGTTATTTTCAGATCCATGTAGAGTAACTTTATTCTCTGGATTCTGTCTGAGTCTGTTGTCTGTTTCTTTGTCATGTCGTATTAGCCTGCTCCTTCCCATGCCTGGTGGTTCTCTCGAGACGGGGCAGACCCCAGCTGTAGGTGGGGGGATGACCATTGCATAGAGTCTAAAGAGAGAATGTGCATCTGTCACTAATCTCTTCAGAGACGGGTTAATGGTTGAGTAGATAAGATCACTGTATACTGGTATATTCTCATAGTATCTTTTGCTTTTTTGGTGTATTCCATAAAATATTCTAAGGAAAGGGTTACTGTGGCTTCCTCATTATTCAGTGCAGTAGGTTGGATGTTCATTCCTGTGTAAACTTTGCCTCCGATAGCACTACTGGTACAACTTGTCCGCCACTGGACGGCCTCACCGTGCAGTGTTCCGAACAGAACGGCGTCATGGACTGGCGGAGGCAGGGCTGCACCACCGCCCAGCACCCGGGGCACTGTGTGAACTCGGCGGACCAGGTATCTGGGGGCATGGTTTGGTCTTCATGCCGTGGTCAGAGCCGAGTCATGTCAGGTAGCACGTCTGGCGAGAAGAACCAAGGGAATGTTTAAGTGTTAGACTCTCAACTCAATGGGTTGATGTGATCTAAGTTCTCCTGAGACCTGAAAAAGTTTACTTAGATTATTTTTATTGCTAAAAAAAGTAGTACATTTTAATGTGATGATTAAAATGTTAATTCCTACTAGGGGTACATGAAGTTGTTTTGCCAACTTTTTTGCTTTTGAAAGAATTATTCACATTTCTGTCCCTATATTGCTATTGGTGTTGTGAATATTGAAATGGAACTTTCCTCGTGAGGAGCAGGGCCAGTTCACTGGGCCTCCCAGGGTGACTAGGACCGATGTGCTTCCTTAGGAGTCGGTGTGATGCTGAGGCCCAGTGCTCCCAGGGCGTGGGCGTGGCCACTGGTGCAGCGGTGGAGGAACCCTGTTCTCCCTGGAAGGCAGGGATCTGTTAACCTGATTCAAGTTCTGGATGACACTCAGGTCCAGATGTTAACCTTGCCTGGAATGTGTTTTTATGAACTAAAGCATTAAGGTGTGTTTTGAGACACTGTATGTTATCTTAGCCATACTTACTTAATGGCCTATTTTTTTAGTACAGTGTTTATACCTTTTCTACCTCCAAATCAGTGTCTGTTCACCGTTTCTTTGTACACTTGGAAAAACTGCATTGTGGTTTTGCCAGCCTGACCTTTAAGAAAGTACAGGCACACCTATAGCAAATGCCAGTTACTTGATTGTGTTTTATTTTGTGGTCAAAATAATACACAAAAGAATACAGGTCCATTTTAAAAGCAGAAAAATAACTAGATGTTTTCCTCATGATTGATAGTATTAAGTATTTGTCAGGGAATATAAAAATTTTAGTGGTTCACACAGGTAACTTCAATAATAGGTTGAGAATAAGAATTTATTAGAATATGCAACTGAGAACGCATCTCATTTTAACGTTGATATCAAAATAAGAGGGTACCTTCAAGAATAAGGGTTAGCTTTAGTCTGTTTGATATCTTTTTATTCTTTCCACTAGCATTCAACTGATAAGCGAAGTTTGTCTTCAGTAAATAAGAAGAAAGGAAAACCACATGTAGAAAAGTAGGTTCAATTTAATGTCCCCTGTAATAGAAATTGGGAAAATACAGCATTTGATTCTGGGCATGTTTAGTTTATGTACTGTAAGTAGTATTTTTCCATTCCTTTTCTTTATATTTTTACTTTTGGGCTTTACTTTTTATCCACAATAATCAGCATATGCAAGTGATAAAAGTAAAGCTACTGTCACATATTACGTTCCATTTGGAGGGGCAACTGTCAGAACTGCACACTAAATCCTGCTTTTAGATTATACCTTCCTAAGAACTTTTTTTTTAATTATAAAAGACTTTGAGGGGAATTTTAATAATTCTGCTGCATTTAATGTATTCTCCAGAGAATCTCATAAAGAGTGTTGGTAACCTCTATGCTTTTGGTTTAGGGAGCAGGTTAAGGAAGCTGACAGCAGACTGAATAGTAGAATAAATGGTATTAGACTCTCCACTCCTCAGCACGGCCAGGGCAGTTCTGTGAAAGGTAAGGACATTTGCTTTCGTCTCAAATACCCATCACCTAAATGCATTTCCTATGATGCCTTTTAGAGTAGACATTGAGCTCTTATGTCAGATCCTGATGTACTTTTGCCCTGCACTGGTACAACAGCGGTCTCAGAATTACACGATTCTGGAGGATGGACGGAGTCCATTTAGGAAATACAGGGCCGCCGGGGAGGCGTGTTACCTTTGCCAGCTCTCGTTCCCTCCAGTCTCCTCGCTTGTCTCCTCCAGCCGGCCCCCGCCTCAGAGGACCCGGAAGGTCTTCCCCACCCTTGTGGAACTCGGGACCCATTCGTATATGAAGGCCCCGTTTAGAATCTTGTCGACTGTGTAGAATCATGTGCAATGGCCATCTTCTGGGGTTTTATGGCACTTTGGGGGAATTCGGACCCCCAGGTTCTTGTACTAGATTTGTGTGGTCTCCGGATGCCCAGCGCTATTCTGAGGTCCCTTTATTTTTAGGTGGAACGTTTTGTGTTCATTTGACTGAGGAGTGTCCCTTCTGCTGGTTCAGTGCTCACTTTTCTGTGTTATGTTGACCTTCACTGTTGACAGGAAAGATAGAAAGTGAAAAGAGGCCCATAGGCCTCGAGGAGAATGTTTTGTTCACTTGTGTACCTAACACAGTTGTTGGCTGGACTGATCCTGCAAATAAGGGTTAAAATTTAGATTTTACTCAAATGTGACTACATTAAATTGCGACGTACCATAAATAACCAAAATGTTTTTAATGGAGTGTTCTTTAATTAACATATTTGTTTAGAGAGATCGAATATCGATAAAGGAAATGTGGTTAATTTTGACTCTAAGATCATTGGGCCAACCATCGAATGAATTAACTGGGCTGTCTTTGGGGGGATGACCTGGGGGGCAAGCTGTGTTGCGTATGAGTGTATTGCAACACCTTGATGTTCCCCGTGGGGACGGCAGACAAGGAAGAAGGGGAGAACTGAAACAACACGGGAGGACTCTGCCCGAGCGTGATGGGCAGTAGCCTCTGCCTGGCTTCCCGGCCTCTGTCCTTCCTCCTCCAGGGTCAGCCCCGCACCCCAGCACTCCGTCCTCCGCAGCACGCACTGGATAGCCAGGGGCAGGGCGCTCTCCCGTCCGAACTGTGGTCAGGTGCAGTGGAGCTCAAAGGAGGTGTGGGAAGATAGTTAATTAGTAAATACTGATAACACAGGGACCACTCTCTGTGTTTGGTGTGCTCACAACTGTGAGCCTGCTCTGCCTGCCCCTGCATGTCTGGTCCTCTCACGATCCCTCTGTCCCTCCTCTCTCACGTGGTGTGGGAACTGCTGCTCGCCAGACAAGTTCACCACACTCTCCCTTTTCAGCTTCCCGCCGTCAGAGGAGAAATGCATGGACTTGATCTCAGATAGATGTGGCTTGGAATCTTGTGCTCCCCCCAGTTTCTTTTTTTTTAAATATATTTTCAAATGGAAAGAGTTCCACTTTATTTTTTAACATAATTTTATTATTATTATTATTATTATTATTTTAGATTTTACTTATTTATCTTTAGAGGGGAAGGGAAGGAGAGAGGGAGAGAAATATCAATGTATGGTTGCCTGTCGTGTGCCCCCTGCTGGGAACTGGCCTGCAACCCAGGCATGTGCCCTGACTGGGAATCAAACTGCAGTCCTTTGGTTCACAGGCCCCGCTCAATCCACGGAGCTACACCAGCCAGAGCTTTCCACCCGTGTCTTAAGTGTGTGGCCTCTTGGAAGCCTTAGTTTTCTCACTTATAAAACAGGAACAATACCTGCCTCACCAGATCATAAAGACTGAATGTGATGGCGTGTGGAAAGCAGTTAGCTAGTGCTGAGGACACAGGTGTTCTAGAATTTAGTGCCTTTTCACCATCTAAGAGAAAACATGCCATAAAATTTATTAAGATCTTTTTAGTACTATCGCAAGCTTTCTTTCCTCTTTATTTTAAAATATTATGGATGTACAATACAACCCGAGGGTGTTTGAATACAATAAACCTTATTCTGGCCCTCACCAGTGTGGCTCAGTTGGAGCAGTGTCCTATAACTGAAAGGTTGTGGGTTTGATTCCCAGTCCGGGCACATACACAGGTTTCAGGTTCAATCCTCAGTCTGGGTGTGTACGATCCCCGGTCCAGCGCTTACAAGAAGGCAACCAGTCAATGTGTTTTCCTCTCTCTGCCTTCCCTCTCTAAAGGCAATGTCCTTGGTGAGGACTACAAAGAAAAAGATAAACCTTATTTTTTCTCTTTTATCCTGTATATATGTCTCTGATTGATATATATATTTATACTTACAGAGTATGACTATAAATGAAATACGCTTTGTACAACTTGTCTCGTTGACATCAAATATAGCTCAGATGTTTGCCGACTCCAACTTAGGAAAAACCCATTTATTAATTTCCCTTTAATATATTAAGGTATCAAGGTATTACCATTAGCATTTAGTAAACTCAAGATCTATTTAAGATTTCTTTCTTTATGAAACAATGACACTTATCATAAAATGTAGAAATTGTATTGAAACAAAATATTGGGTCTTTTTGATTCATGTTGTTTGGATCTTTAAATAACTCAATAAGTGTTTAAGATAAGTGTTACTTATTTTTGATTAAAAAATTTAACTTCTGTTTTGAGTAATAATATGTTCGTGTAGTTTGAAAATTTAAAGGTACAAAAAGGGACAAAATAATCACTTACTGTCTCCCTCCACGTGGTTGCCTCCCAGAAAGTTCTCAGTGCCGTTCATCTTCTGTATTCTTTGCAGTGGATTTGCTTTCAAACCTCAAGCCTTAAATCTCTCCACTGAGGAGAAGTAGGGTTTCCATGGCGATGTTGTTAAGCCTCTGTTACAGTGCACCAGCCCTGTGTCCTCAACACCACGCTCCAGTAGCTGGCACGGCACCAGGAAGTCTGGGGCGAACGAGGTGGTTGACCTCTCAATCTCTCTCTTTAGAGAAATGGTAGTGATTTAAAGTCTCCTGCTTTTCTCTAACTGTGGTGCTGATGTACCTAGACAGTTAAGCCGGACTAATTCCTGTTTGTTCACAAATACTCATACCCAGGATTTTCACTGTTAGAATAGTGACTACTGTAAGTTTTTGACTCTTGTCTTCTTGCATGATCTTTTACCCTGTGAGACACGGTGACAAACAATAAAGTTCGGATTTACTTAAATGGGCAGTTTGTGGAATGTCCTTTGGCACATCCTCGCCTGCACACCATCTGACTCTGGGCTATCACATCACTTCCCATACAAATTCCAAGGACTGTGTGCAATTCCAAAGCGCCCTGTGGGTGATCAAGAGGAGAACGTGATGTTTAGTGTAGGTTTAGATCTATGTACTTAATTCTCTGAAAACTGCAAATTAATATATGATAATTTGGTGCTTCAAATGTTTACTAGTTATATAATCTAAAGAAAATAATTTTTTAAATTGTGTCATTTTGAGAAATAGCTGCTTTTAAAAAAGCATATTCTGTAACTTACTCTATGAAGTTTCAAAGACTCCACTGTAGTTTCAGCGACTGAGTTTTGATGAGGAAATCTCCACTCACCTGACCACAGAGGCCCCTGCCAGCCCGCCCGCTCTACTTTGAGACTGTCATATTGAGTCCTTGATTCTCTTCTTCCTTAAATGGTTCGTTTTGTTCTATGCCTGTCGAAATACTTCTATGCAGAATTTCTGTATGTGCCACAGTTTTATATTTATGTTTTGTTTCACCAGTGCAGTTGAACGTCGGGCCATTGTGGCACCTTAGATTGTCCCAGGTAGCCACTGGTGTTGCATCCCTGGGTCACACTGCGACAGATCAGTTCAAATGCTAGTATCATGCACGAGTATACGCCAGGTTCCTTTTCTGTAAAGTCTTTACTCGCCCAACTGATGGCTCAGCTACTTACAGCACTATGAGGTTTTGTGCAGTTTTCCCGGGCTGGTTTTGCATTTTATTACTCAAAATGAATTAGCAGCATCTAATGACTTTATTGTTATTTGAGTATTTATCTACCATTTGAGTTGCTGGGCTAGGCTAGGTCGTCTTAACAATCTTACCAGTTACAAATTTCCCCCCTTCAGAAGACACAGATTAGTCAACTTGGCCATCACAAACCACATCTTTTCTCTAACACATACTTTGTCTAAGCGATCAATAGTTGCAACCTCTGTTTGTGTCTGCCAGCTGGTGATGGAAACAACTCACTTATCTCTAGTGCTGAAGATCCCTCTGGAAGCCCTCGCATGGGGATTTATACACTAAAGTACACACCGAGCAGGTTGAATGCTTGCTGCAAGGCGGAAACTCTGCAGGCTACTGGATTTACAGAAATGAGTGGGACAGCCCCCCAAGTGGGGGCCAGTACAGGATTGGCCAGCACTAGTTATGCCAATAACCTTGCCGTGTGCTCCAAACAGATGTAGCTAACTGACCATGACCCCAACCCCCACCCTCCTCAGCATCTCCTCGCCTGCTGGGCAGAACTCAGAGAGCTACTCAGCCTGCTGGGTAGGATTGGACTCTGTTTGAATGCGCAGGCGCAGTGATTCTAACTGAGGAGGCATTTTTTGGCAGTCAGTCCTATTCTTAAGGTCTTTTAAAGAGTGAATGTGCAACAAATTCTGAGAAGTTAAAATATCCAGACTTTGAAAGTGGCCCAACATGCTGGTATTGGACAGAGCCTTAACTCTGAGTTTTTAGAGTCAATAAGCTTGACTTTTTCTTCTGCCTTTGTTGCTTTAAGACTGTATTTATAAATTACTTTCAATTAAAATAGTGATTTAATAATGAATTTTTTCATTATTATAAAGCTGTGGGACCAGCTTTTTAGGTGATTGCAGGAAAACTGAAAAAAGAACTATAGCTGGAACTAATTTCTAACGGTTTAAGTTGGAATTTACTTTAACTACTCAACATTATTTTTAAAAATAGAATTATTATTTCTAGATGTGAATGTGGACGTTGGATCTGGACATGACACATGCGGAGAGACGTCTTCTGAGAGTTACAGTTCTCCCTCTAGTCCCCGACATGATGGAAGAGAAAGCTTTGAAAGCGAAGAGGAAAAAGACAGAGGTTTGCTTTCTGGAGGGAACATGGGGGTCGTGGAGGAAAATGTGTGTTGTCTCTTAAAACCAGTCAAAGAGAAGTAATTTTATGTTCCCATGAACATCACCACTGATTTTTAATTTAATTGGTGTAAAGAATATGTAGACCGGTGAGGTAGCAGGTCCTGGCAGTGTTGATTTAAAAAAAAGATCACTTGACTGCATATGAAATTAAATAGCAAGAAGACAGTGATAACCAAATGGAGAGTTCGTGCAGAGATATTGAAAATTTAGGTGCACATATATTTATAATTCTTTGCTTACTGACGGACTGACCCTTTTTATCCTTATAACATACCCTTCTTTGTGTCAGGTAACAACTTTCGTCTCGCTTACTGTCTGCAGGGCACCTCCGTTTTCATCCTTGTCCTTTAAACCAGAGTTTGTGTCTTTGAATCTGAGGCGTGTCTGTTACAGCATTAGTTGGGTTTTGGTGTGTCAGCCGTTCGGTCCACCTCTGTCAACTGATTGGAGTGTTTAATGTATTTAAACTTACTGTAATGATTGATAAGTTAGGATTTACATCTGCCATTTGGGTTTTGGGTTTTATATGAATTACATCTTCAATTCCTCCTTAAACAGAGGCTCAGAGTCAGCCAGAAATGAGAGTTCAGGGTCTTTCCTGGGCACACACACTTCCCTAGACGTGAGTGTGGCCTTCTAGATTCCCAGGGATACAGCAGAGCTTTTCAGAACTCCTTGTGGATGTCTCGTTCTCCAGTTTTTCCTCCCAAGTGTGTCGGTCCTCCTCCTTGCTGGCCCTAACTGGTAATGCTGCCTCAGGCCATCAGGCGGTTAAACAGTTGCTGCTGATCTAAGTGACCAATGCCTGTGGGTAAAGGGCAGTGAAAGAGTGAACTCAAGCTGCCAGACCGTCAGATGGTGACCGTTCTGTAGGGATGGCTTCTGTGGAGCTCCACACCCAAGCTGCTCCTAGCAGCTGCCCAGCTGCTGGTTTTCCCGGCGACCACAGCTGTAGGACTGGAAGGTTCTAAGGCTTCATCAGAGATGGAGAGAGGGAGAGAGAATTAGTCAAGGGAAGATGCCACAGTACTTGCAGTTCTTGAGCGATTCAGCTGTTTTTCTTGAATAAACATTCCTCAGACTGCCTCAAGTCTTTAGTTAATTTCCACAGTTCTGAAAGTTTTGATTTTGACAGTTTTTGCCAGGACTCTTGTTGCTTTTAAGGAGTCGAGTGTGAGAAGTCCTTACTCTGCTATTCCAGAAGTGAGGCCCCCCAAAACATGCAAGTTGAATGAGGACGTCGTTTTTTGCACACGCTGTCCACATCTGAGCGGTAGCCTTTGGTCGTAAGGTGTCCTGTGCTGCCGGCAGTAGTCAGTGATGCCCCCGGGCTCACCCTGGAACTGGGGAGCAGCCGTGTGCGGCTTCTTCCTGGGCAGCCCACCGCTCTCTGAGACCCTAGCTTCTGCGTCAACAGTGTCAGGTCTCAGGGACAGTGGCACTTGTGCTGCTATGTCATTACTATTAAAGCCACTCTTTACTTTTGCAGTCATTTTCAAGTCCTGCCAAAAGTTGCATGCGGTGACTCTCCCTGCGCGTGTCCCAGTCTGCAGCCATGTGGCCTTTCTGATCTGCAGAGCACACTTGCACACTGGGGCCACTGGACAGCACCCCATTCCACGGGTGGGCTGAGGTGGCCTGTGCGAGGGCTCACCCTCTTGCAGTGGGCGTAGGTAGTGGTGACTGCACGAGCCTTCTCTAACTGAGGACTCCTTTGGGACTGTCTAAAACCAGAAGAGGGTAAATACCCACTGCAATTAAATTTTTTTAAAAAGCTTTGATTTTGAGTGAATGAAATGGTGGCTTTGAAAACCATATGGCACTGTTGCTATTGTTCTTATTGGTCCTAATGGGGTCTTGTTTTGAGACTTTGTACCTTTCAAAGTCAGCATCAAAAAAAAAGGACAGAGCCAATTCCTAAATAGCTAGATGGGTGCTTACAATGCCCGGAAAACCATTTGGGACCATCTAAAATCAGGGGCTGTTTGCTGAATTAGGAGGATTTAGGCTCGCTCTCCCGGGAGGCCGCAGGGCCCCCGCTGCCCCCTCGCGTTGCCCGGTGCCCTGCTCTCTGCTCAGCTCCCAGGGCCCTTCTGCTTCTGAGACTTTTTTCCTGAGCCCACACAGCCCAGCGCTCACTTCTGCTTCCTCTGTAACTTTCTAAGTAAATGTCCTCTTATAATTGAGGGCAGGGCCAAGAAGATTGTGTTCAGCTCATAGAAATTTACCTGACCAAATGTTTAACTGTACTCATAATTATGGTACAGTTACAGATATAATGCCTTAAATAACTTATTCATTTTTGGATACTTTTTGTTTTGTAAAGTTTAGCAATAAACACTCATTAAGGGGAGTTTATACTAGAACCATCTACTCACAAATTGAATCTCTTCCCTCAAATGTGAATTCTGGTCGTTGAATTAGTGACACTGTGGACAGCCTGACACTGAGCAGGTTCTGGTTAACCTTTCTCCAGAAAGGCCTGAATGACTTGTTTTTAGTGTTCTGTTTAAAATACTTTTCACATCTTAGCTGCAGAGAACTAGTTATTACCTTAAGAAGTGTGAACATTTACATATATTTTGCAATTCTGCTTATATTTGAGAACGGAGGCGGTAGAACAGACACCACGGCTAACTGCACGCTCTCTGTACCTGTTACTGCAACACCTGGGTTCGCGTGTCCCAACCCTGTGACTGAGATCTGATCTTTTGCCCCCTACACGGAAGTCAGGGAGGCGGGAATCTGGATTGAAGCTCTTTCCGCATAGGGCCACGCGGCACTAAACCCTGTGTGGCTCCTGCCCCCCTCCCCCACCCCTTTCTCCCACTGCTGCTGAGAAAGGCGAGCGCCTGGCGCCAAGCTCCACGCCCCCACTCCCGGCCCCTGCTCCCCGCCTTTGGTGCGCTCGCTCGCTCGCCTGCACCACTGAAGTAGTTCAGCCTAAGAATGTTTATTTTATTCTGGAAAAGCTCTCTTCCACTTCCTACCTCTTGATATTTGAGTTAAATACACTCTGAATTGAGCTCCTTTAAATTGTATCATTTATGTGCAACAAATAAAAGACCATGGCTTTGGCAGTGCAGACTATAAATTAAATGAATTGCCTAAAATTGATTACATTTAAAAGTATCTGATCCTTTAATCAGTAATAAGGTGAAATTAATAAATCTCTGTATTTTGTATTGTACTTCATTGTCTCCAATTAACCTTTTGTTGCTTTTCTCTCCACTGATTTTCTTAAAGACTTTAAAATTTTTGAGCAGTTTTAGGTTTACAATAAAATTAAGGAAAGTACAGAGATTTTCCAAACATGTACAAGCTCCTCCATTTTCAACATAATTCACTACAATGGCATCTTTTTTTTTTTTTTTTAAACCAAGGATGAGCCAACCTAGGTGCGTGGCTACCGCCCAGAGCCCCGTTCCTGCGGGCTCCCTCTTGGTGGCTTAAGACGCAGGATCTGCGACACAGTCTGTCATTGCGTCATTGCGCAGAGCCTTCTGGCCTGACAGTCTCCCTGCCCCCAGTCCGCCCTCGGCCACCCCCCACTCCTGGCCGCCGTTGGTCTTCTTTTGTGTCCATGGTGTTGCCTTTTCCGGAATCTCTCTGTTTTTTAGATAAAGTCCATAGAGAGCCAAAGATGAAAAGAAGGCCAGGCTGGTGGTTAGGGAGCCGAGGGGCCACATTTACTGCAGCCCCAGATGTCAGAGTCAGTGTCAGACGCACCGAGGCCTCCCCCTCCAGCAGGGGCGGTGGGAGTGGCACCCGTGCCAACGCGCATGTCCGTCCTCTCCCGCAGACACCGACAGCAACTCCGAGGACTCAGGGACACCGGCCCCGTGCAGGTTCGCCGCTCCCGGCCCCGTCGCCCAGGCGGTTGCGGTCCCTCCGCCGGGAGATGCCGCTTCCTTGGGAGACCAGAGCGGAGGCCTCATGGAGGACACCACGAGCGCGCCCAAGTATCAGCACGTCTCCTTCGTGCCGACTTTACACTGTGTCGTGCACAGCGGTGCCCAGAAGTCGGACGTGGTCGTTCCTACCCCCAAACCTGGCGATGGCAAAACGATGGGCGTGCTGGTTCCCGGTCCTGTCGCCCTTTCTGCACTGAGGGAGTCCGGCGCGACGCCCATGGGGCTCCTAGGGCCCGCAGCCTCTGCCGGAGATTCAGAAAAGCACTTGGAGCTGCTGGCCTCGTCCTTACCGCTCCCGGCGACATTCCTCCCGCACATTCAGAGGCTGAAGCTGCCCCCGCAGCAGGGACCTTCCGAGGGCTGCGCGCTGAGCGTGCAGCAGCCGGCCGGGGGTCTGAGCCTGGGGTCACCGAGCACTGCCTTCCTCCCTTTGCACAGCCCAGCAGGGTTTCCAGGCTCTCCTGGGGCTGCCACGGACCCCACCACCAAACCCCCCTCCCAGGTGGTGGGACTCAATCAAATGGTGCCTCAAATGGAGGGAAACGCAGGGACAGCCCCTCAGCCCAGCAGTGTGAACGTAGTGCTCTCAGCGGCCGGCCTCTCTGCCGCGCAGCCACCAGCCCCCTATGCACTGGCCGGCTCGCCCCTCGCCGCCGCGGGAGGGTTAGCCAGCCAGGGCGCCGCCGCGCCGTCGGCGCAGGCCCAGCCCGCGGTCCCCACGCACACACCGGGCCCCGCGCCCAGCCCGAGCCCCGCGCTGACTCACAGCACCGCGCAGAGCGAGGGCGCGTCCTACATCAGTGCGGTGGGGAGCACGAACACCAGCGGCGCGGTGCTGCCGCCCCCGCAGATGGGCTCGGGGCCCTGCGGTTCTTGCGGGCGAAGGTGCGGCTGCGGGACCAACGGCAACCTCCAGCTGAGCAGCTACTATTACCCCAACCACGTGCCCATGTACCGAGTCCCTCCTCTCTTCCCTCTGCCGTCCATCTGCAACGGCAGCTACCTCAACCAAGCACATCAGAGCAACGGAAACCAGCTTCCTTTCTTTCTGCCTCCGGCTCCGTATGCAAACGGGCTGGTGCACGACCCGGTCCTGGGGAGCCAAGCCAGCTACGGCCTGCAGCAGGTGGCGGGATTTGGGAGGTACTACGCTGTCTACGCAGCGCCCAGTGTGGTTGCCAACACCAGCGGCTCGGGGCCGAAGAAGAGCGGCAGCGTCTCGTGCTACAACTGTGGCGTCAGCGGACACTTTGCCCAGGAGTGCAAGCAGGCGTCCATGGAGGCCAGCCAACAAGGTAATCCCCAGGGCTCGCAGCGGACTTGCTTTTAGTGGGTCGCGCCCCGGCCTTATTGTCCGCGAGGGCTGTGTCCCGGCAGAGCCGTGGTGTGCGTTCACGGATGTGGTTCTTGCGGACGGGGCGGCAGAGCCTAGCGTAGGCGCAGGTCACGGCACCAGGGAGTCCACCGGGCTCGGCCTCCGAGTCCGGAGGAGACCAGAAAGGCGCTTTGGAGGAGCAGAGTGGGAATTTGCGTCATAGAACACCAGTCTCTGGCTCGCAGCACTGTTCTAGGAGGCTCAGCCCTCTTTCATGAAGTAAGCAAAGTTTTTACGTACTGAAAAGCTAGGAAGTGAGACAGGCACCTGACGTGCAAGGTTTTAGGTGTTTAGTATCTCTGCGCATTACCAAGGGGCCCAGCGTAACCCCCACGCGCTTTTCCTGCCCAGCAGGTGTTTTAAATTAAATGCTATTGCATTTTAAGGAACAAAATATGTTAAGCACTGGTTTGGTAGTGAGGGAATTTGACCTAAGTTGATTATTATTACCACCAAAAAAACCAAGATGTTCTTAAATAAGCATATGAGTAAGCTACAAAACTCCAGATACACCTCACACCATTATCTTCCACTTGTGTTTGGTTTTTGTCATTTTGCCAAAAAGAGTCTTAAATTGGGGGTATATACCTGGCACTTTTAAAGTTTTTTTACTCATTTATTTTATTTTTAGAGAGAGGGGAAGGGAGGGAAAGATGGAGAGAAACATTTGGTTGCCTCTAGGACACCCTCAACTAGCGACCTGGCCTGCAACTCAGACATGTGCCTTGACTGGGAATCGAACTGGTGACCTTGAGGTTCACAGGCTGGTGCTCAGTCCCCGGAGCTACACTAGCCAGGGCTACTTGGCGTTTTTAAAAGCTGGAGTTTGATAGCTTTAGGTTGAACTTAGAGCACAAACTTCAGGCCACCTTTGAAAAGTAACCGTATTCCCACTTTGGAATTGTAGTAGTGCGGAGAAAGAGGCCTTTAGTGAGCATGCTCGTTTGCTGTCTGTAGTGGTTTGTGATGCGTTGCCTTGTGAGCAGTGACTTAGCAGTTCTGTCTTTCCCGTTTTAGGCACTTACAGACTGAGGTACGCACCTCCCCTCCCCCCTCCTAGTGATACGTTGGACTCTGCAGACTGAACCGAGTAAAGCTTGCCTGCCTAATCCAGGAAGTGTGGGGGGTCCTGGTGGGGTGTGGAGGGCAGGAAAGGAAAGGTATTTTGTTCACGTTTCTTTGTCTACACATTTCCAAAATTTCTATGCAGTTGGGGTTTCTCATGTTTCCTGTACTGATGTCCAAAACAGAAAAGAACGCGTTGCTTTTGAGCCTCCAGTCTCCTAGGTCAACAACAGGCTTGTCTCTGTGACACGTGTAATTTAAACATCCGAACTATCAAAAGAAAATGGATGCGTGGTGTTTTTTTTTACACTGAATACTCGCTGTGTGCAATGTTTACTGAATCTTTAAAACTGTGTATTTGACCTTTTTTTTTTTGACAACACTGGTGACAGTCGTATGGTTTTGGAAAAAAAAAAAAAGATACTTTGCTTCTTCCCCAGCTTTTCTCACTCTCACCCTAAAGTACACTTTTCCCCCTGTCCCCTCCTGCTTCCCAGTGGCCCCTTGCAGGGCGGGTGGCCGGTGCGCTGGTCCCCACCACCGTTGTGAACTGCTCTGCACACAAGCTGAAGGGCAGCTGTTTCACCGGAATCATAAGGCAGGAGTCAGATTCACGAAGGAGTGTGTGTGTGACGAACAACATCACAGAAATGCATACGTGCAGTGCATGTTGTCCCAGTGCAAATTTAAATACATGGAAAAAGTAAAACCTTAATATAACCCAGGAAAAATGTGATGTGTGAAGTGGACAGAGAGCTCTTTCTTACAAACAAACGACTTTTTTAACCCATCACCCTTTTTAGCCTGTTGCCTCAGAGAGACAGAAAGTGGATGAACTGGCGTGTGCGTGTGCGTGTTCTGCGTGTCTGTGTTGGTCGTGGCAGCCGATTGTACTTGGAGTTCACCCTGACGTCACGCTCGGACGCTGCCCGAGTGGCAGCTCTCCCTCCCGCACCACCTGTCACAGCGTCACGTTGCGGTGGAAATGCGTGGGCTTGACCGCAGCCCGAACAGCGGCGCGGGGGGCTGTGCGCCCTGACCTGCCCCTGGTCACAGAGCCGCTTCCCTGACCAGCCACCGCTCTGCGTGACGACAATGTGCAAGGCCGCCGAGCGCAAGACCGTGTCAGTCATGTGTGTGCTGTCACTAAGTTTAATGCTGCTGTTTTTTTTAAAAAAAGGTTTTTTTTAAAGCCAATCTACGCACTAAATTGCTTCCGGGTAATTTTTGATTTCCTAAAGTGCACTGAGGTTATCTGGGAGATCAGGTGCGTTCCTCGGGCTGCCGCAGCCCACGGCCACAGGCGCCTGCGCCTCGCGGCCACAGGCGCCTGCGCCTCGCGGCTGCGGGGTCGGGGGCCAGGTGGGCGCCGGTCCCTGCGCCTGGGCATGGAGCCCGGAGCCCGGACGGAAGGGTTTTGTCGTCCGCAGTACCTCGGTGCGCAGCCAAGGAATGTCGGTGTTTGGTCTTGGTTCAGAAGCCTAACAGATTGCTAAACAAAAGGAAAAACTTGAAGAAAAAAGAAGCTTCATGTCATGCCTCCTAGGTAGCATTTATATTTATAGCACCGATGTACATTTTGAAACTTCCTTTCAGGGGTTGGGTGTTAGAGGGGAGAGGGGGGGTGGGAAGGGGCCGAGGAAAGCTTTAATTTAAAGAGAAGCAGAGTTTGAGTAAAGGAAATTATTTTGATTAATTATATTTTATTTGATCTGGGTACCTTTGGACCACGTTCTTAAATTAATTGTTACGCTGCCGCTGAGTTACTCCACTGAGTTCTGATGAGCCACGGATGGGCCGCGTTGTGAGTCGCTTGCCGGTTGTACTTTACGGAGCTTATTTTATGATTTGAAATACTGTACTGTACATAGGGGGTGTGCTGCCTTCTCCTTATTTGTATGTTTACCATATACTTTGATATTTGAAATGTTATGTACTGGAAAGGCCACTTATATTTCTAGAACAGATTGGATTTTATGCAACCTTTTTTCCTTGAATTAACAGCAATAAAAAAATGAAAAACAGCCTGAGAGTTGTGCTTTACTGCGAATGTTACAAACCTGAGCCGTAGGAGTAAATGCCACATCGCTGGTTACGTCTTTCTCTCTGAAGAACCAACCCACCATCGCTCGGCAGCGCAGGCGCTGAACCCGCGTCAGTGGCCGTCGGACGCCCGTCAGTCCCCCAGGCAGCTTGGTCCTGTCTGTGGTTGGCGTGTGGCCCCTCAACCAGGCGGCTGCACGCCTGTGCTCCCTGGACACACACTGTGCTGCCCTGGTAGCCAGGACAGAGTCCTCGTCACCCTGGAGCCGTGTCGCTGGTCTGGGCCTTTCTCACTGAGAATGTAGAGGACACAGTTTGCTTTCTCAGACATATTAATACGATTTTGTTTGCCCAGCCACCCTCCCAGCACAATGCTGCGTATCTTTATTTCGTTGGTCAAATCATCCATGACCCAGTCTCAGGTCAGTTTTCACACAGTCCTCGATTGCTAAGAGATGATGGGGCGGCACCTCCCAGGTGTCTGTGCATCTGTCATGGCCTCCGGCAACGACAAATGTCACTCAGCCCAGACCCCTCGGGTGTCCCCCAGCTCTCAGGGCACCGAATGACCGTCTGGAGCCATCTGATGGAAGACCCTCTGCACCCAGTAGGCTGGGGGGAGAGTGGTGTACAGGGCACCAGCTTCCCGCTCCGGCCAGCAAGCGCGCACCTGTGCATGACGCACACTCGAGCCCCTCTGAGCTGGCGTGTGGGTCTCCAGCATCATTACCTGTGCCCTCCCTTGTTCCTTCACCCTCCCCACCCCCTCATCAAGGGAAGAACCACTCTAAATTTCATTCTTCACACATTCTACGCCCTCCTCCTTCAAATAGGCTTCGACGTCATAGACGGCGTATCCTGGGCCCGGCCTCCTCTGCAAACTCGGTCATCCTGCTCCATGTGCCTTCCTGAGTTAACTGGCAGAAATGTAATTTGCAATTTTAAAAGTCAAAAGCACTGTTCTCTCAAACGTTCATATTTTAATATCCACCACCACCAAGATGAAAGCCAGCCATAAGAAACATGCCTTCTGAGGGTCGAAAGGTTGTAGCTGATGTTACCTTCCCGAGGTTTAGCCATTTTTACTAACTTTACAATATTCCATTGCATGGGGGCGGGGTGCACATGTAAACATCGCAAGACAGGCCGTACCACTTTCCAAGAGGTTTCCTCTCCCACCTGAGGCACACGAGTCCCTCAGTCCGCCTCCTGACACCCTCCCGAAGTGGTACAGAAACAGTGCCACGGGAGGTTGGCAAGGGGGACCCAGGGCGGCCTGGGCGTGTTTCTGTGAGGCTCAGAGGTGAGTGTGCAGAGCCTTCCAGTAGGGGCAGGTCTGGGGGGGACCCCTACTGGGGAAGGGACTGCAGTCTGGGGAGGAAGTGTGCCAGGGGCGCAGACTGGGAGGTAGGAGGAGACGAGGGCAGCTGAAGCCCAGGGAACATTTTGAAAGGGTTACGAGAGATGTGGTTCAACAGAACAGACTTGGAGTGGAGGTCTGCGAGCCAACTGAATGAAAAGGTGGACGTTACCAGGTTTCGAACAGGGAACACACGTTAACGGTAGTTTTTGAGGAAACCGTCGGAAACATGTTGACCATAGATTCTGAGGAAACCGTTGGATGGCTGAGCCTGCACAAAACCTGGGCGTTCAGAAGCTGGGTAGGTTTGGGGGGGGGGGGGATGGAAGAGGCAAGCAGACCGCAACTCGGCCCCCAAGCTTTGTTTTCCATGGACGTGCAGTGCGATTGTTGCCTTTAAATAGAGGCTCTGGAGAGTCAATGAAACAATGAACGGCAAAGGTCCAACACAATGCACCCAGAAGCACCAGGAAGGCACTCAAATGCTCGTGGAATTCAATTTTGACGAACAGATGGGCATCCTGGTTTAAGAGACAGGAGCAGTGGAAGAGGATTAGTCTGAGCGAAGGCCGTGACTGGCGGCTGGTGATTGGAGAGCAAGCAGCTCTCCGCTCTATCAAGTGTCATTATTTCAGCTCTCGCCTCTGAACATAAGAGACATCAAACCTCCCTGGTCCTCAAAGATTATATCTGGTCGAAGAGCTTCCCAATCAAAGGCAGCGATGGGCTCTTAATACAGGAGCTCTGTCCCACAGTCCTGAATTTTTAGCACCAAAATAGAATAACAAACTCACGTTTAATTCTCTTACGTCAGTGCTAAAAATTAAATTTTTTTCTGCAATGGTTTCAAAAACATTAAAGCACCCTTGTAAAATATTTTTTTAAAAAAACCCCAGCATCTAGTAATTGCGAGCACCATCCCTCTGAGCTTGAAAGACACCTCTTTTCAATTCTCCGTACTGATCACAAAACCAGTTAAGGTGGAGGCCGGCACCAGATGGCGGCCAGCCAAGAGGAGAGTTGAGCCCCAGAACCCCCCGCCGTTCCATCTCAGATCAGAAAAAGCGCCAACTTCCTCCACCCTACCCACCGCTCCACAACGGCCTATTTATTTTTAGAGAAAGGAGTGAGGTGTCGGGGGTGAAGGTCTGGGGGTGCTCTGACTTCAAACATGGTGACTGCATCTCAGGTCAGCTGTCAGGAGAAGGAAGGGCTGTGGGGTGAGGGTGGAGGGGCAGGTGTGCGCTCAGGCCGAGGGCGCATTTGTTTTGTTTTTGTTTTTCTTTTGTTGGTTGGGTGGTTTTTTCCCCCCTGCAGCGCCCTGGACCCTTCACCCGGAGGCAGAGGGCAGTACCGTGCAGTCCCGGAACAGCGGATTCTTAAGGTCAGTGTCTCATCAGTCCTCTTCTGGGAAACGCGAGCCATCGGCACACGCCTCCTGAGCCTGCGAACGTCTGCCCATCCCGGGAGCAGGGGCGCTGTAGGCTTCCCCTCACCCGCTGGGGGGTGGGGTACCACACAGTGGAGACATCCAAGCAGTCACAACTCTTCTGCTGTGACTGCAGGTTTCGGCCACCAGCACTCTTAATTCCCGGGATCCCGTTTTGCTCCTGGAGATGGCGGGGGCGGGGGGGGGGGGTGACCGGGGAGCGGTTAGGGTGGGGCGATTGTTCATTGTTTTTCTTTTTCCTCTGGCAGCTCCAACTTGATCTGCTGGCACCGGTCTCCACCAGCCTCACCCCGGAAAAAAAAAAAAAATTGCTCATTGGGCAGCAGCGCCACCTTGTGGTGGGCGAGGATAGTGCATGCAAGCAGATGCCATTTCCCACTGATCGAATTTAGAGAACATTGAGCATGAGACAGAAAACGTTTGAGATTGCAAGCCTGTGCCCCAAACCTTCAAGAGTGCAGGCAGACGGCCATGGAAGCAATCAGCAATCTCCTCCTCAGGCCACTGCGGTCTGAGTCTGTTTGGAACATCTTAAATGCATCCATGGTACTTGGCAGTTTTTCTCTGTAGTCACTGGTCAGCACAACTGTGAAAGGCCTGGAATCGCCCTCCTCCCTATGGTACATGGTGCACACTCGGGGTGCAGAGGGGCTGAGGGCCACAAACATGCCAGCGATGAGGGCCAGGCCCCAACTGCAGGCCAGTGTTCACCTCCTGCACCGCCCCCTGCCTCAGGTGCTTCTCTGCAGAACTGAGAGCAGCAACCTCCCATTTATTTATTGTTTACTGACTTATTTGTAATCCTCACTCGAGGACACGATCATGGATTTTATGGAAAAGGGAAGGCAGGGAGAGAAGGATGGAGAGAAACATCGATGTATGAGAGCAACATTGATCACTTGCCTCCCGGACACTCCCAACTGGAGATCAAACCCGCAACCTAGGTGTGTGCCCTGACCCACAATGTTTTGGTTATGGGATGACACTCCAACCCACTGAACCACACCAGCCAAGGCAAAGACAATAGCCTTTAAAAACCATATAAAACAATAGGGAGCCACAGTCTTAACAACCATGGGCGTCCTGGACTCCTGAGACAGGATTGGGCCGGGTCCTAGTTGATCAGAGCGTCTCTTTTCTGTGTGTCTGTTGAAGGACTTGAAGACATGGGATGAAGGAACGTTTGCAGAGTGGGAACTTCAGGGTTCTCAGAACCAGGCTTTAATCACATGCTTATCTCAGAACTAATGAGCTTCAACTCTCACCTGTGTCCAAGGTTGTAAACCTACACAAACACAAACCCCCCTGTTGAAACACTGGGTTGTGCAGACGTCAGAAATTAAGAAAGTATCAGGGCAGGCAGAAGAGATGCATGCAATGGCTGGTATTTTTCAAGCTTTTATATCTGCATGAAGATTGTTCCTCTAGCAGCCGCCACTACTCAGATACACCCAGGAGGACAGCCGTGGCCTTGGAGCAGGAGCAATGAAAGTCACACCTACCCCCAAAGGAAGCCTAAGAACGCCACCAGGTTGCCAGGTATTCCCTGGTGCTCACTCTTGCTGGCCGGTCGGGATTGGGTCACATTGCAAAGTGGTAACCCAGTTGTGCATGGGACACCTCTGTTAACTGGTACAGGAGGTGGCAGCCATCATGACTGTTCCCACACCACCCACCATACACATGACCTTCCTTCGGCTGACTTACAGAATGGGGATGGCCTTCATTGTGTAGAACAGGGACAGCAGTTACCTTTGGCAATGTACGTAAAGTGCTGAATGTGGGACGCATAGTGGGCGCACAGTAAATTCTTAACGCTAGCCAACACCGCCGTGCCCTTTAGTGGCTGGCCACTATTAGCCTCACAACAGCCCTAAGAGGTAGGTACTGTGCCCCATTTTACAGTTGGGGAAGTTGAGGCAAAAGGCTAAGCATGTGTCCAGGGACTCAGAAGTTAAGTGACAAGGCTGAGATTGGAACCCACCGCCCTTACCTCTGGGAGACTCCGCTTCTGCTCTGGGCTGTGTCAGGGCAAGGACCCCAAGCCTGTGTGGGGGTCAGGTGGGTTGCCCCCCAGGCAGGCTCTGCGTTTGCTGCTGTCCTTGAGAGCGGCAGGCCCTCCCAGACTTTTCCTCCTCTGGAAGCTGAGTGTTTTCGGTCCCAACTCAATG